CTTGGCAGACTGCCTGTCACAGTATGGATAGGGCATATGGGAACAATGCTTTGATGGTACACAGAAGTAATCTGGTAACTGCCGAAGTCCAGGCAGGTGTCACTGGCATGCCTGGGTTACCCTGGCTGCTGCATACCAGATCTTCACTCCAGAGCCATGCAGACAGCTTAAGCTGTGCAGCTGCTCTTATATTCTGTTCTGAGGCATGCTATTTGCATGCCTTGTGTAGCTCTTTAGTCTCAAACAGCTCAGCCAGAGCTTTTTATCAAAGGTGAATCATCCATTCTGTCATGGCATAATCAAGCATTTTTTGTTTCCATCACTCAGAGAAAAAGGTGGTGGTGTCCCCTGCAAGTTGTGGCTGGATAAGCTGCTTTTGTTTCCCCACTCATTTCATGACTGGGGAGAGGGAACAAGCTGCGGAATGATGACAGTTCCAATATAGACTTGGCTTTCTTGGTGCCCTCCCTTCCCCCTTGATAAATCTGTGCTTAATAAGATGAGCTGCAGGAGCCATGGATTTGCAACAGTACCAGCAGGATAAATATTTCTGTATTTCTAGCTGATTTTAAGATGATTGGTGTATGTTCCCCTCCTTTTTTTGACAAGGGTTAGTCCCATTAGATGTACTGCTCTTCATTTCATCTCCTTCTCCCATCTGTTCTGTCTCTTTTCAGTAGAAACCGAGATGTAGCTCCCACTCAGGCTGCCAGATAGCTCTGTCTCCCATACATGAGAAAATATCTCTGTGTGAAGTAAAGCGGTGCCCTGCTGTGCCCGCACATGAGATTGTACCATGAGGGCAGGCAGTGCTCTCTCAAACTCTGTGACAACGTCATATCCTCTGTGTCAGCTCATATAGGTGAGGGAATGCCACTGCTCCCCGTCAGTTAAGTGATGTTGATTCCCAGGCCTAACTAGGAGTCAAGGGAATCCAAACAGCCTTTTCCTGAGCAACCAGGTTATCATAGCAGTAGGTAAAAAACCCCAAATTTTTGTTTGAAACATTAAAACTGCAATACAGCAAGTAAATAAAGAACAATGCATGTAGATAAGACAAACCTATGAATACCTGGATAATAAAGCCATAAAGACTGCAAATGCTTATACTGAAAAACTCCAAGCTACCTTGGAACTCACTGGCAGGTGGCCATTTCAGTAAGGAAGAAATCTTCCTTACCAAGCTCCAGAGCCTTGCTTCATGTTCCTGCTTCTAAAGAAGATTTTGTAGTGTCTGTATGTGAGAGCAATTGCATGCCATGAGTTCTTTGTAGAGAGGAGCATTATCTTTGAGAAAAGCTGTCTTCACGTTAGTTCATTTAAGATTACCTCTGTGAGGGAAGCAGTTATTTATTGCAAGTAGTTATTTATTACAAATACTACATCACCAGAATATATATGAAGCCAGATGGTTTGCAGTGAAGCTGGTTTGCTTTTGTTTGGTGATCAGATGCCTGGGCTCGTTTCTATCTTCTAGCTCTTGCTTTTGATATCTTCCGGTCTTCTGATTTCCTATTTAGTATTAACTTCGAATAAGTCAAGTTACATTAGAAAGATTGCAGAGATAGTGATTTTTATTCATGCTTCTTGAAACTTCAATTTATACTGACTTAACAATTTTCAGTGTTAGTATGTGAAATATTTTGCCGTCAACTGAATGCGATTACCAGGTGGGTAATAGCTTCTCAGCTGACAGATTCATTTTGCCAAGTCATGGTACAGGGGCATATTCCCTCTGCTAAACAGTGGCAGTAAGGCAGTGGTGCTCCTGGCACAAACATCTGTGATGGGAGCTGCACACCTTTGCATCAGATTATGTGACAGGGTGTACCCCATGTGCAGGGTCATGTTATCATTGCTAGAGACTCAGGCCAGGGCTCTCGCCTCTGCTGTCCTTGTGGATTGCTGGAATGTGTGTATTCTTACAGCCGCGGCTTGAATGGAGGAGACGGAGGACAAATGGGGGATGCGATAAGAAAAGTAATGTACATGTCCTGCATACGCCCACCTGGGCATGGTGTTTAGCCAGTGAGGCAAGAGCAACCATATTATGTAAGATGTTAGCAGCTGTAGCTCTGGGTCTTTTCTCCCAAAGAGGTCTCCTTAATGCTTTTTTAGTTATTAATCATTTTAGTTAATATTAATTGTTAATGGGCAGAATTTATTTAAAACCACGTGTTTGGGTGCTGATTATTTTTTCACCATACTTTATTTCCTATGGTAGGGAATAACTCCTCTGAGAAATTTTGCATTTGACGGCTACTGTAGCTGACAAGAAGTTCTTAAATATCATAGTATTCCAATAATATTCCAATAGGATATTCCAGCCTAATTACTACATGCAGAGAACAATGTTACTGTATTTTACTGTATTACATATTACTGTGTTACTGTCTATATCAGTATATTGCTACGGGGAACCCGATTGGCTGCTACATGTATATAAGGTTCTGTTGGCATCTTTAAAGGTTTATCTGCAGATAAAAGCATTGCGGATTGCTGCATCTTGATCAATAGTTTGTGGATTATCCTGTACTGTCTTCCAGTAATAGATTAAGAATGTCAACTCTAAAAACAGTGTCTCAAAACTAAAATGCAGCCAGTTTTCTCCCAGTTTATGTATATTTCCGCTATCCTTTTCCTCATTTGAGGGTAACAGTGGTGAAAGCCAAACAGAAAGGAAAATGTTTTATTGGCATATTTTGGCTTTAGAAGTACTTGAATTCGTTTGGCTCAATAGGCAAATGTCTTTTATTTATGGTGTGGTTTGCATTTGCATAGTAATGCTGTTTCCCCAGACTGTCTCATAAGGTCACAAATATCTTTACAGTGCAAATCATGGCCTGACCCTTGAAGACTGTTGAGTTCTGTAGCAACTCTGACTCACTTTCTTGAAGCCACTCTTGCTAAACGCTAGTGTGATGATGGTCTTTAGGCACTGAAGTACTCAGTACCCTTGAACGGTGTTCCATAATTCAATGAGTGATTGGGTATTATTGTGCTGATGCATTTGTATCTTTATATCCACTATTGTTTTCATTTTTCCTGGTGATTACAGAAGGAGGACCAGGAACAGAACATTTACCTAGGAGTAGGAAATCACACTGAGGAGTACCTAAGCAAAATTTAGTATAGATTTATATAGTTTTTGTTGTCTGAGATTTAAAAGAAAAGATGCAGCTATATCTCAGTAAAGCTCTATTTAACGTATCAAGTGCCGATACTAGTTCCAGTCAGAATACAACAGTAAGAACAGCCTTATTAGGCTTACTGAAAAGCCTAATGAGAATCAGTACAGGAATTGCAGTCAGTCATTTTTGATGAACTTTTATTTTTTGCTAAATATTTTATAGACCGTTAGTAGTTTTAAACAAAACTATAGTGGCTTTCAAATATTAGGTTGGAGAATTTAGAGAGATTTCATAAAATAGTAACTTTGACTTTTGGAAAGAAGATATGATTTGTGTACATAAAGTTTTAAACACTGCCTGCTGCCAGTGTATTAATTCAAAAATAATACATTTATGGTAGTGGGCACTAAGGAAAAAGCAGAGCTATGGAATCTTCAGCTTTGCATGGAGACACTGTTCAAGTCTTTGTCAAGCTAGACATATGCAACATATGTAGGTGTGTGTAGTACAGGTGAGAAGAGGCATTTTTGAATTTATATAAAACTCAAAGACTGAGGAGATGAGAAGTCATTCAGGTCTTTGAAGCTAGACTATCCTCTCGTGGCAGCTGGCATTTTCAAGTATGCTTGGTGATTAGAGGTAACTTAAGATACTATAAAAAATGTAATCTTCAACGAGTTACAGTGTAACATTTCCTGAAAATAAGGCTAGTTTAGAATGTTTGAAGTTTAGTAGCTAAAAACATCGACTGTACCTCAAATTCTTGGCTTCTATGTTCATGGTTATTGTTTGCAGAATTATATTGAGAAAACATGCCATTGAAATTGAAAATGGAACAGCATAAATATCATATATTGTGTTCTTAAGCATTTCTTTAAACTGGCAGAGTTGACTATGGGGAACATGATCATATATTCCATCTGTTTCCTTCCCTGGGTTTCAGTGTATTATGGTAAGTTCATAAGAACTTTCTGGAGCTTATCTTGTTGTCAACCTACATCTACAACTCCTTGCAGAAAGGAACATCTATTTCTGAAAAATAATTTAATTACTTCAATGCATTTAGATTCCAGTGGCTGAACTAATCTTTACCCTTAAACTTCCCAGACTCCTGTCTGAGGTACTGTAGATCTCTATCTCTGCCTGTCTTGTCAGTCTGGATGTTTTTTATCTCATATTTCTTCAAGCCTTTGGCTTAGTTTCTGTCTTTATCTCCACTGTCTGGAATCTTTTTTTCACTCTGTTGCCTTTGTGTGGAACATAGATCCTTCAACTGAGCTCCACACAACTTCACTGTCACTCAGAAATAATCCCAAAACTCATGTCTTTGCACATTCCTGTTGTCCACCTACCATTTGTTTCATTCTGTCCTTCCCCATATTTAGATTGTAGACATTCTGGAGAAAGCACTTGGAATCACTTTCTTTGTGAAACAATTTGCAAGACTGTGGAGCCCTATAGAAGTTTGTAGTTAAGAACCTGGTGGAAGGTTGCAACCATTGCATAATTTTTCGGGCAAGTCACCGTTAAAGCCAGGAATACGATTTCAGGATGAATTTTTGTGCCTGTGCCTACCACTTTAGAGTTATGTTTAGAGGACATGCAGAGGAGATGATAGCAAAAATAAGGCATTCAGAATGTGAAACACTTAGTACAGTGGAGGTTAGTTTAAGTCACTGGAATGATGATAATTAATAACACGTAAGTATCAGTTCTCTGTTTTTTCTACAGAGCAGAAAAAGAGGTTCTGAGGTGGCAAACTATAATGTAATAAATTGGAAAATACACTCATATTTAGTTATATATTTCTACAGATGCATCCTTATTTTTCAGTCTTCAGTTTATAGATGCTGTAATTTTTTTTTAAAAATGTGTATTTCTCTTTCAGCCATTAATGAATTTCCTGAAGATATATTTACAAATAAAGAACGACAGCAAGGAGGAGTTCTGCTTCATATCATTGCCGTAAGTTTTCATCTACTGTGCTGAATTTTTGCTTTCTTCGTCTTGTAAAACATTAATCATTAGTTAGTGGACTTAGTAAATAGAGCTCTGTATATATCAACGTATTTCTGATACTTTGATTTCAGTATTTCTAATATGTCTCTATGGGTACAAATGCTCAAAAGGTAACATCTTAGAGACATGGTTTAGTGGTGGACTTGGTAGGGTTAGGTTAACAATTTGACTCGGTAATCTTAAGAGTCTTTGCCAACCTAAATGATTCTGTGATTTATTTAAGAAAATGATGCAAATCTGAATCTGCAGTGCCTATGTCTTCACCCTCTTGGAGGTAAAATCCCGGCCACATGGATCACAGACTTGTATTTGTATTTCATCTTACATGAACAGGGTTTGGGATTCCTTTGTTGATGACATCAAGCACGATGTGGAAGATTCTTGATTTTCTTTCTTTCCTGTTGTGCCTCTGTGCAAAACATGCAATTGTAATTAAAAAAACACCAACCCTGAAGAAATACAGAAAATGTCATGTGAAGTTTTATGTTTTACTGTAGAAAAAAACAAAACAAGTAAGGCCTGTGGGCTCCAGTTTTTCATTTCCAGCTCAGGCAAAATAAAGTAAAAGGAGTTGTGTTTGATGGACAGCAGCAGGATTAGGCTCGCTGCATGAGCACAGCGCATAAAGCCGTATAAGACAGTGGGAGAATCACATGTATGCAGGGAACCAGAATAATTCCTGAGAAGTTTGGTGCAGTGAGCCATGGTCAGGGTCTGCTTGTTTCCAGGTGTGATTATTTCTTGAGTATTATTAATCAACATGGTGTTACTTTCTATTTAATTACTTGGTGTGAAAATCTAAAATACAGATGATGACTCTGTAACTTTAAGCCTTAGCCATTCCTTTCTTTTAGAAAAAACCTGTTGTGGCAGACTGTTCCGTCAAACTGTGGTACCTTTCATGTTCTAGGATCTGGCAAACATTCTTGTTCTAAACGTAATCTTACATTCAAGAATATGTTTTTATGACATAAAGTGATCAGCAGAGGGATTTTTATTTGGGGTGGGATAAAAAATGAAGCTATATATTTCTACTAGTCTGAATAAATATAGCATTGCCTTCTTTCCTTTTTTCATGTACAGGAAAAATTTGAAGTACTTCCTGAATTTATTTTCTTTACAGGCTCTTTATATGTTCTATGCTTTGGCTATAGTATGTGATGACTTCTTTGTTCCATCCTTAGAGAAAATTTGTGAGGTATGTTGAAGAACTTTATTCCTCTTTTGCAAATTTAGATATCATAGAATCAAATCTTTTGTGCCATCGTTGTTTGGAGTTCATTCCTGTCAACTTTTTGTCCTTGGGCCTTTTCAAATGATTTGAGCTTCCCATCAGAAAATGAACCGGTGTTTTGGGCACGTTTGTCCCCCAGGCCACACTCAAGGATTAAAAATGAAAGATTTAATGAGATCAAATGGCAAACCCACTCTTAAATATCTGAAGCATGCAGCTAGGATGGATATGACATAAGAATGTGTTGGTTTTATTATTGTACTCCTAGTTTTAAAAGTCACTTGTGAAAAGAAATGAAATTGCACATAGACAAATTAATGGGTTTGCTGTGCAAATTTTATTGCACATCTACCACTGTATCAGCAAGGAGAAAGCAAGTATATGCAGTCCTAGCATAAAGTGGAGAAGAGGGAGAAAAGGGAGAATGCATGAGAAAAGTATGTACTTTGGTTTGATATGGAATAAGAATGCATATTTTATATGCAAAAAACAGTAAATAAATGTAATTCTTGTATATAATTTTTGAGAAGACTTTGCCAAATTATGTTTAGAATTCTAATTGAGTGAATGATTGGGACAGGGTAGAATTTATACTTGGTATTTAAATGTTGTGTTACGTAAGACTTTGGTGAACTACTACAAAATTAATACAAAATACAAAACCAGATTTTAGTTCCTTTTTGAGGGCAAAATGAATCTCATCTCCTTTGCTTTTTAACAAAAATGTGTGTGACCATTTGCTGAAAAACTCTTGTAGCTAGTTTAAAAATCTGTTTTGCTATGGATATATATACAAAATTCCTATTAGTGTTACTCAGACCTATGTACTTACACTTACCAATAGAAGAACAAATAGAAGAATAAGAGAGGCAATCAATAATAGTAAAATACCCAATGCAGATCTTTTATTTCCCTTTTCAGATGTTCTGTCCTCATCATGCACTTTATACACCGTATAAGTTGTATCAGTTGGGTCATACCGATTAAGTTGTCACTGATTCTTTGTAAAATCTTTTTATCTTGTCTCATGTTCTGCTGAACACTAAAACAGCTAAGAATAATTCAGATAGCACACTTACATTTGAACTACTGCAACAATATGACTGGTAATAGATCAAATGGTACAGTAAGGGCAGTTGTTTATGTTTTGTCAAGTTCTGTAGAATGCCATTTTCATCAGCTCAAAATGTTGCACACTGTCTGAAAAATATAGGATTTCTGTAGTGGTCCTTTTGTCACTAACCACTTTTCTATCCTTGGAAGAAAAATAAGTTACTGAAGATGAGTCTAGAGACTCTCAAAAAGGAAAAAGCTC